CGCACGTCGTCTGTCACGTATTAAGTTTTTTATGTCATCGGGGAGGGTGCCCCGGGGGTTTGTCAGTCGGGGGACAATAGTCTCCGTCGTAGTCTGAGTCAGGGCGTTTTTAATGTCAGTCTCAAGGGAGAGGATTGCCGCCTCCAGATCATGGGTGGTTTCGATGACTGGGAGCGCCATGTTTCCTTGCATTACTGTTCGGAAACGCTCCCAGTCAGTGAACCTCCTCGTGAAGGTGCCTTCATATCTCTGTCTTCGCCCCAGATCCAGAAATATTGGATTGTGGGCGGAAGACCCTTCGTATTGGGTGGATATTTGGGCATTTAACGGTATAGATTTTAAGAGGGCAATGTCGATAACGTCGGGGCGTCCTACGGGTCCGTAATGTGTCGGTTCTGTCGGTCCGAGTATAGTCAAGTCGTCGTGTCTGTCTTGGTAATTCAGCAGGACGCGACCTCTTGTGGTCGTCGTCCCGCTGTGCCATATGGGGGACTTCGCGTTGAAGTCCCCGATGGCAATTGTCTGGGGCCAGGAAAGGATTTTGTCTAAGTCATTGTCAAGTAGTGGTAGTCTGGGTGGGTGGTAACAGGACACCACCGCAACGTCTCCATGCCGTAGCGATCTCACCGCTATCGCCACGGCCTCTGTGTTTTGAGTTTGGAGCCGCTGCAGCGGATAGTGGTCGATGCACTTCTTTACTATGAGTGCAACACCACCCCCGTTACGGTTTCTGTCATGTCTGTATATGTCATAGTCAGGGATGGAGGTACGGGATGCCTCGCTGAGGTAGGTCTCTTGGACAGCCTTAACGTCTATGTTTAGACGGTTCAAGATGTCCACGAGTTCCGTTTTTTTGGCCCGGAACCCGTCAAGGTTCCAGGACGAAATTCTCAGCGAAGAGGGATGGGAGGGCCGACGAGCCATTAGAAGTCGAATAATTTTTGCATATTCGACATCATGGTCGTCAGTTGGACGCAGAAGTCCTGAAGACGCTTTGTTGCGTCAATCAGGGCCGCCGCGCCCGTTTGGGAGGGTGTCATGTCTGTGTGTGCGTGTGGTGAGGTGTGTTTTCGTTTTTGTGTGTTTTGTGTTTTTCTGGTCATGTCAGCGTATGTGCGTCCTGGGGTTGTGTTTGGGGTGG